TTCTCCTGCAAATTCCCCAGCTATAAACCCTCCGCACCTCCAAACATACCTTTATATTTGTTACAGAGTTCCAACACCATCTCATGAGTCCTCTTGTGCCAGTATTCCGTGTTGTTGTTGACCGAGCTCCTCACTCACTACACGTCTACCCTGTCCACCATCTTGAAGGTAGAAGGCCTGGTAGTGTAATGGTTAAAAATCTGGCTGCGAACCCCACGGTCAGCAGTCAAATCCACCAGGCCCTCCACGTTAGAGAGATGAGGCTTTCTGTTAAACAGCCTTGCCACCCAGTATTCCGTATTGTTGTTGTTGGAGCTCCTTACTACACATCTCGCTGCTGCTCGAAGTTCTTGCTGCTGCTCGAAGTTCTCACTGCTGCTTGACATTCTCGCTGCTGATATCATATGCAAGCATAATTTTACTGAACATAATTGAAAATTAGATGCAATGTTACATCTTTAGGAAACTGCAAGAAATTCAAACCAGATTCAAAAGAAAACATGAAACTAAGGATATCATTGCTGACATCAGATGGCTCTTAGCTGAAAGTACAGAATACCAGAAAGATGTTTGCTTGTACTTTATTGACTGTGCAAAGCTTTCAACTGTGTGGACCATGACAAGTTATGGATCACATTGCAAAGAATGGGTAGTCCAGAAAACTTAACTGTGTTCATGAAGAACCTGCACATAGACACAGAGGTAGTTGTTTGAGGAGAACAAGGGGATACTGTCTGGTTCAAAATCAGGAAATATATGGGTCTGGGTTGTATCCTTTCACCATACTTACTTAATCTGTATACTGAAAAAAAATAATCCTAGAAGCTGGATTACATGAAAAAATGTGGCATCAAGATTGGAGGAAGAATCATAAGCAACTTGTGATATGCAGATAAAACAACCTTGCTTGCTGAAAGTGAAGAATTAAACTATTTACTAACTGATGAACATCAAAGACTACAACCTTCAATATAGATTCACTTCAATTTAAAGAAAAAATATGCTCACAACTGGACCAATAAATAACATCATGATAAATGTAAAAAAGGTTGAAGTTGTCAAAGACTTTATTTTGCTTGGATCCACAATTGACACTCATGGATGCTGTAGTCAAGACATCAAATGACATACTGCATTAGGCAAATCTATTGTACCAGAACTCTTTAAAGTGTTGAACACAAATATATCAGTTTGAAGTCTAAGGTGAGACTGACCCAAACCATGGTATTTTCAATCACCTCATATGCATGTGAATCATGAAGTCCATAGAAAAATTGATACATTTGACTTATAGTGTTGGAGAGGAATATTTAAAGCTGATTGGCAGAAGAAAACACAAATCAGTGTTGGAACTACAGCCAGAATATTCCTTAGAAGCCAGGGTGGCCAACTCTTGTTTCTCATATTTTGGACATGTTGTCAGGAGGGACCAGTCCCTGGAAAAGGATATCATCCTTGGTCAACTGGAGAGTCAGTGAAAATAAGGAAGACCCTCAAGAAGATGAATTGGCACAGTGGCAGAAACAATGATTTCATGTTAAAAATAATGGTGAGCACAGCACAGCATCCAACGCATTTCAATCTGTTGTGCATAGGATGGATATGAATTGGAACTTGACAGTACTTAAGAAGAAGAACAACAACAGTGTTCCTGGGTTGCAGTAGATTCTCAATGTTTATATCTGGGGAATAATTAAGTGAGTAAAATTTTATGGAATGCAGATATTTAGAATGAGTTAAATGACAATAATAGAACTAATACACATTGTTGTTGCTGTAGTCAAGTTCTATCAAGGCAATTCCAACCATATTGACCCTACATAGAGCAATTAGTGTGTTTGAATACCTACCTTTTTTGTTAGTAGTCTAATTCTTAATCTACAGCTCCATACCAGGATTCCATACATATTATATAGGCATATTTATACAAATAAGCACAAATACATATCATACATATTTTAAAATTTTAGAAAATATAATGTCATCAATATTTTCCATTTTATATTTGTTGTTGAATTGATTGTTTCCATGGTTGTATGAAGGTCGACATCTCTTTTAAATCAACAATTTCAAGACCACTCTTTGTTATTTGAAAACTATTAGTTAAACCACATTATATAAAACTGGATTTGTTTTGTCAAACTATCTACAAATTATATTTTGTGATTCTTATAAATGTGATAGATAAAATTATTTTACCCCTTTTCAAAAATGCTATTAGCACAGAACTTAGAAGACATGTTAAATATGGCAATAATATATTTGAATATACTATACTCAATCAAGTCCTAGTGTGCCACTGTAGGATAAGATTGGCTTTTCAAACCCACTAGCTGATCCATTGAAACCCTATGCAAGGTTGCTATGAGTCACAACCAAGTTGATGGTACTTAACAACAACAACAACCTTCAATGAAGAAACGTAACTCTTATGTAACATGACAAATTAAATGAAACAAACAAAAATATGATTAGCATATCTATAAAAACAATATCTAGATGCTAAGACGTGTAAATTTGGAGTTGAAATTTTTGTGAAGTGATCATTTAAAAAACAGAAAATTATTGTACTATCTGCACCTTAGAAAATCATTAATTAACAGCTAAGTTGGTTACAAGATTCTTTATTATGTAAACTATTCATAAACAGTAAAAAAGAAAATGCATTATACTTTAAATAGTACGTAGGGTCAACATTAAAGTTTTTATTACATTGTACACGTAGTCCCTGGGATACTAAGAAGATCCATTCCTAAGTGTGTCGTTAAGTCGAATTTGTAGGTAAGTTGTGAGTCTCAGTAGGAGCATGTGCTTCTTAATTAGCCTTACTTTACTGCAAGAAAAGTCTTGAATCATTTTCAGTTATTTAATAACTGCACATATAGCAACTGAAGGTGATTATAATGAATTTGTTGACAGTTGGGACTTCAGCGATTCAAACCCACCAGTAGCTCCTTGGAAACCCTATACAGATTGTTGAGTTGGAACTGACTCTCCGGCACTTGAAAACAACAACAACAACAACAAGGGGTTGCTTCAGTCTTTTCAAAATGAAGGCAAATTTGTGTACACTAAAGGGCAAGTAAGAGTTGTCTTATGTTGGACATTCGTAACCCAGGGATATACTGTATAAATCAAATTGAAAAAATTCACTTATTTTGCTTTCAATGAATTATAGATTGGTAAACCAATTGATTGAATGTTGGAATTACAGATTCTAGTATGTAATATTAAACAGGCTTTTCCATTTTTATGATGGACACAAAGCCATAGGTCTGATATACTTAAAAGTGATGGTGTGCCAAAATGTTCACACAATTAACATGCTAACTAAAATACAATGATTAAAGTAATCTTTGCTACAGTTAAATATTAAATGCTACTATACACAATAATCATAAACAAGCTCACATGGCAATTATGTAACAATAGGTAAAATAAAAGAAAAAAAAATAGTTCATTTTCTTCATTCCAGCAGCTGTACTTATACTGACATTAATTTGGTAATTAGGTGTGTTTATATATCTCCTAAAATCCTATATTGGTATGCATGCTTAAACCTTTCGATATCTATTTTGCAAGGCACCATACAGTACTTTCTCTAAGCTTCAGTGCTAGTAACAAATATGGCAAATTCTAATTATTAAATGAAATTTTTATGCAAAATAAGAAACAAAATAAGAATTCAGATTTTTAAATTTAACCTTGGAGATGTGGTATGTGAAAATATAATTCAAATAAATATTTTCCTTTGTCATCTTACTTTAAATTCAGCTCTCCAAATTGCTGGTCAGAAAGATAAGAAGTCTAGAAAGGTAAAGAAATCATGCAGCTTAAAAATATGACAAAATCTACATGAGACTGTCATTTTAAATTAAAATAAAACTTTGAAAAGACAGCCACATTTTTAATTTTCAGAATCTATGGTTTTTATATTCTTCATTTACTAAAATACCCTATCATATTCAGAATAATTTCATAATTAAAAGAATCACTTTTAATGTAAATACAATGAAGCTCTCTTCAACAGTTACTTTGTGTTTCCCATCACGCCCTGTTTCCCTCATTAATCTTTGACTCACTCTAGGTTTGGAAGATGCTACTTTGGAATTGCAATTCAGACCATGCATGATTTTGAGGTAAAAGTCACTAATAAATAAATGTAAATTTAACTTAGAATCTCTCACAGTAAAATAAAATATATATAGTACAAGGAATGGGCTATCATGTTGTTTGTGGGAGACCTAAGTGTTCTTATTAAAATTTGTTTGTAAGTCTGCATAACTTTCTTTTTCTATGGCTACATTCAATATGTATTTTCTTTTTCTATCGGAAACCCTGTACAGGGTCGCTATGGGTCGGACCCGACTCGATGGCAAACAACAACAACAACAACAATAAATCATATAAAAATCAAAAATGATCCTTATTGAAACATAAAGTTCTATGACTTCAGCTGTAATATTTGAAATAATTATATAAAATATATGTAAGGATTAGAATCATTGTTTTTTGGGCAACAAGATATTTCTCAATAGGTTACCACTTTGTAAATATTAGAAATGTAGATTTTTAAAAAATCTCAGCTCAAATTAATCAAATATATCCATCATGGTCATCACCATCATCATCATCATCCCCTTCATCTTCATCATCATCTTCAATTTCATCTTCATCATTCATAATGTCATCTTTATCATCCTCATTATCAGTCCATTCATGGAAATCTCCACTTGCAAAATCTCCAGAGATCTCAAAATCTATAGTTAAGAAAAAGCAAATATTACCTTTACTGATTGAATTAGTGGGGTAGTTACTGAGAGATATAAACATCTGATAAAAAAATAATTAATAAAATTTTAACATGCTTTTTTAAGTTAACAAAGATAAAGAAAGATCAATTCTCATGAAAACTATATAACATCTCAAATCTTTATCATTTGTTAAAATTTCATGTGCTCATAAGAAGTATTATCAATGAGAGGTGATCTATAGAATTAAGTTTAATCCAATTTTTATTGAATCACTTGTCAGCCTTTGAATCATGCAACAGATCAAAAATATTACTTCTAGCATGATATGCAGAATAAATATCTCATAAATGTGTTAAGCTCCTGATCCCTGGATCCTGACAAAGGGAATTGCAGATAAAACTGAGTTAAGAACATTTAGATTAGGGAGTTTATCCTGGATTATGCATATGGATCCTTTAAATTGGAGAGTCATTCTTGGTATTTGCCAGAGATATGGCTACTGAATTGTAAGAGGTATGCAATGTATAAGGGTTTAAAGATGGATTCAAGGAGTCATATTCCAAGCAATGCTAATGGTTTCTAATCCCCCTGTTTTTGTGTCACTTCTGATTTATAGTGAATAGAACTATACCACAGAGTTTATGAAGGTGCAAATCTTTACTTAAGCAGACTACTTCATGTTTATTCTGTGCATCCACTGGTGAGTTTAAACTTCCAATCTTTTTATTAGAATCCTAACACTTAACCCACTGTGCCACTGGGACATCTAGAAAGTACTAAAGGAAAGTAAATGGTGTCCTCTTCAATGCCTCTAGAGGGAAAAAGATCTTTATTTTTATATTTCTGAAATATAGTACTTGATTTCTGGCACACAACACTGTAAAACAGTAAATTCACATCAGTTAAAGTGCTAAATATTTTTGTAATTAATTACATCAATAAAAGACTAACCCATCTAGTCAATAGCTTTCCACATATTTTTAAAACCATTAACTATTATGGAGATAATACACAATTTGTGTTTTCTTTTCAGCCCATTTAATGTATGTGTGTAGAGTCCTGGTGTGGTACTGTAGGATAAGTGTTGGGGACATACGCAAGTACTGAGACGTTGTGGCCCTGTGACAACATG